TTTCATTTAACTTTAAAACAAACTAAGCTTATCTGTACGGAAATATTGGAAAAGTTATTTTATTATTCACCGATCCGAGGCCATCGAAACTGCCTTTTCTAGAAAGTAAAAACATATGATTTTTCGCCAAAAACACCTGAATTCTTGAAAAGTACTCTGTGATACACCTTTGACTACATAAATAATTGTTATTGCTGTTGTTCTTGGTCTTGAGTGTTTTGCTTTTGAAACCCGCGGGCATCCCTCGATGCAGATGCGCAGTAAGTGTGCATGCTGACAATAGTAGGCACCAACCTTAAACATTTTACTGTACCTTTTTTACCGTCTGAACATGATGATAAATTCATTCGTAGGAATGCTCTTACAGCCATGCCTGAACGGGCCACGCATCTGTTTTAACGGTTAGCTCACCGTCTTCAGCGCGTGTCTCTTCATCTGAGTCAAATTCATATTCGTCAATTTGCTCAGTATTTAAAACTGCCACACTGTTGTCATTGACAAATGTTATTCATCGCGTACAATTGCACTCAAAACTAGGTCATGACCGCCTGCAAACAGTCGTTCTTATTTAGACTTTATTACGAGTCAATCACCAAGTGCTAGTTTTACACTGAAACCAACAAATGCCTCCACAGTCTTTCTCCTTTTGTCCAGGCTTTGTAAATCAAAAGCTACTGGTCTGGACAAAATGTCTGCTAGGCTTCTTCGTGAATGCCCTGATATAATAGCGGAGGCTTTATGCATAATTTTCAATTGCTCCATTGATACGGGCATATTCCCAGACGAATGGAAATGTGCTAAAGTTTTACCATTATTCAAACAAGGAGAGCGAAGGGACATGGACAAATATCGTCCTATTTCAATAAACCCTATCGTGGCAAAAATTTTTGAAAGGATCATTTACGTTCAAGCCTATGCTTTTCTTTCCATTAAAAATCTTCTTTCAAATTACCAATCAGAGTTTCGATGCCTCCATTCTACGGTAACTGCACTTCTTGAGGCCACAAATAACTGGGCTTATAAAATCGATCGCGGCAATGTTAATACGGTGGTTTTCTTGGACCTCAAGAAAGCATTCGATACCTTAGATCACAGAATATTGCTTTCAAAACTAAGAGCATACGGCTTTGGAGTCTCTGCAAGTAAATGTTTAATTTGTATTTRAGCAATCGTAGTCAAAAATGTCTAGTAAAAATTTTTTAAGGGACAATTCTAGGGCCCCTGTTATTTCTCATTTACATAAATGACCTGCCAAATTGTCTTGAATATTCCCAGCCACGTATGTACGCCGATGACACCCACTTAACGTTTGCAATTAATAATATTAAAGATGTGAATTACTTCCTAGACCGAGACCTTCAGAACGTTACTGAATGGCTCGTTGCGAACAAACTAACTCTGCAAGCCAAGACAGAATTTATGTTGATTGGATCCCGTCAAAGAATAGCATCGTTTGGTTCACTTCCATCGTTCCATAAAACAGGTTTTATAGACAAAATCTCTCGGTGTGCAATTTGACCAAAATCTGTCTTGGAATGAACACATCGACAAATTATCCAAAAACATTGCGTCCGGCATCGGAGCCCCGACGCGTATAAGGCCCTTCGTCCTAACTTCAATTCTACAGTTTATCTATAGTTCTTTAATTTAACCACATTTTGATTACTGTTGTGTTGTGTTGGATAACTGTAACAAAACCCTCACTGACAAGCTTCAGAAACATTTTGACATTCTCTAGTTATATGACGCTCGTGCCGATGTGAGACACAAAACTAGTACGGCATTTCGTGACTAAGTCTTTATGTAAATATTAGAGTGTGTGACGAAATGTTCATGTAACCAGATAGTAGTTTGGTAACCAGAGATATAGATAGGGATATATTCTTACACACATGTACTGAGCATAGATCTCAAAGAAAGAAGCAGTAAATATAAGTTYCAGCAAAAACGTGTCAACTATTGGTTCGAACGGGATCAAAAGTACCGTGTGTAACACCGACCCTCTTTTTCGGAAACTTGGATGGAAAAACTAGAAGTCCAATGAAAAATACAAAAAGCTGTTATGGTCTAAAAATCAGTGCATGGTCTCACACAAGCATATCTGAGTTCTGTTTTTATCGATCGTAGCAGCATAAGAAATTATGCTTTGAGAAACACCGAAGGCAAACTAGCTATCCCTAGGCCACGCACCAATTATCTAGTTAATTAACTTGTAGTTAGCTTAGCATACGTTGTAAATAGAATTAAGTAGTTTTAGCATTATACTAATTGTAAATCCTGAAGAGTCTACCGTGTCTAAATAAAGCATCTATATCTATCTATAGTTGCGTTATAGTTTTACAAGTCYAGACTAGAATCGCCTTAGTCCTTGAGCTTGTATAAACGTTTTCATAATTTTTCGTCGGCCATTAAATATGCCATGACTATCCGCGCCAACAACAACTTTCAAGATTTCCCGCGAACTATTTTGGTCCCAGGCTTCGCGCGGTTTGCTTCCCGTGACTCTAAACCTCAAAACGGGGTTTGCTCGGTTTAAAAAAGTGCGACTTCAATAGTAACTGGTGACTAAGAGCGTTGTTTCCAAGCCAACGAGGAACCTGGCTACTCAATATGGTGGACGATTGTAAATTTGACGCAATTCTCAAGCGATTCTGGACTTCTCATTGCAAAACCATCCTCCACAGTGACTGAACAAATACATCAAAAATCGCATATCACATTTAAAGCTGAAAGAAACAAATGCAGAATTCATTTAAGGCAGTGAATGTACATCAAATTTCCGGTGCTACATTTTTCAGATGGGCATTTACGAAGACACACTATGGCGTTTATTAAAGGCATTGTCGTACTTTCCATACAAAATGACGCCATTTTGACACAGTGTTCACCCAAAGAAAATCGCTGGATCGACCAAGAGCTAAGACGTAAGATTAAAGCACACTAAACTATCGTTGTATTACTCTTATTTTCAGGTGCTACATTTTTTCTTGACGCTTCCCCGTTATTGCGATCGAGAGTGGAAAGTACGAATTCTTCCTTATTCTTTGTAATTCCTCGAGGTTAATTAGCATGAAATGTGACAGGCGATCCGTGATATAGTATGCAAATGAGCAAATCATCGGAAGTGACCCGGAATTGTACGCGATGTGGTATAGACATAGGTTTTGCTGATGCTGGTGTTGGTGTTGGGGCAGCCATTGCTGTGGAATTTGGTATCTCTAATAGAGTTGGCGCACCTGATGTAGCTGGATCTTCTGGAAAACTGAATTCCTCGTCAGATAYCTCTTTTTGCTTAMTGTAAACAGCAGGYRGTAGCGCACCARCCTTGTCCTTCGTGGTTTCGCTACGAACTGTTCTTTGGCGAACTGGACGATAGCTCTCAACCCAGTCTTTYATCAATGCTTCCATTTCAKGGGAGAGTGTTTGGCTTTGAAGAGGATTCATTACCTTTGCGGCTGTAARGRGTATGGCTGTCTCTGGCACTGGATAATACKACCTCTCGTGAGTGAAGTACTTAGCAGCAAATTGGTTGTTCGTTTAAGGGACTCCTTCACGATGGTTCCTAAATCTTGTGCGTATTCTAAAACGCTAAAAGTTTYATGCTTGAAGTGAGATACTGCATGTAAGTTTTCTACTTGCGTAGGCAAAAGTGTTTCCAGCTCTATATCTTCAGCAAAGTTCTTATTGATATTRTCTATATTACGGACAAGTCTTTCTATTCCCTTTGTSAGAAGAGTTATTGAGGTTTGAGTCTGAAAAGATATCGTGCCCTGTGGACCRTTTGTGGCTGACTTTTCTTTTAGGCCGTGGCGTTCTTTCACGTCACTCACTGTTTTGAGCATGAAGGTTTCGACTTTCTTTACATTTTCCAGTGCATTATGAAGGGAAACCGACTCGATGGAGGAACCTCTCAAGTGAATATCAAAACTGTCGTAAAGCAGACCAAGCACTTTGAGGAAAGCCACAGTTCCAGATAACCCAGTCACCAATTTAACTATTCCAGCATTCACATCCGTTACAATTAATGATTTCTCTATGGAGCATATGCCTTTGACTTGAACAAAGGAGCACGTTCTTTCCGTGCATCCTGGGACCTATTTTGATCGCTGCCCAGCAAAACTTCCACCGAATGATCTGCTGTGTTTACCAGCCTTATCTTTCCTGCTTTGGCGTCTGTAAAGGCGACTTTGCCTTTAAAAGGGTATACCCTTGTCACTTCAGTGGGAGACGGAGCGTTAGGACCAGAATTATCGTAAACTTTCTCTAAATAACGTGAGCTTAGATTGCACTTATAAAGGCCTCCATCATTAGAATGTACGGCAAA